ACCAATATGTAGTTCAGAGGTTTGTACATTTATTATGCCCCCCTTCGAGGAAAGGAGGGCATATTGCTTTGCTGCTGTCTGTTGGTCAGTCTGTCTGTCTGTCGGTTCACCGACAGTTTCCATTCATTTTCTTTGCAAAGGTTAGACATACTGAAAAACTGCAATCAAACTTTTACATCTGAAAGCAATATTTTTAGGAAAAAAGACTGGATATTTGGTAAATAGAGAATGTGAAGGCTTCAAGAGTATAAAGTAAATCAGCTGTAAAGTAGCAAACTGGAGATAACAATGGCGTTTATTCTATGGATAATTTAATTGTTCCTTTTACATGCATTATGCATGGACCCAGAATTTTTTTCCAGGGGATGCACACCTACAAAAAAAGCCTCTCAAAAAAAGTTGACTACCTAACTATACAAAGTTGATAATTTTGAACACTCCTGGGGGGGAGGGGGGGGGGTTCTAGACCCCCTGGATCCATGCATGATTTATGACTTGTATTTTTCATTAATTACTTGTACATATTGTATGAAAGGGTATCAAGTTACTATAGGAAGGTGACATACAAGCTGATACAAATATATAAATCCTTCGTTTGAAATCAAAATGCTAGTTAGACTAAAGATGATAGATGATTTTTTTTTTCAGGATTGATGTAGAAGCCTGGATGCTTAGCTGTGCCACTGATTTCATTTCCTGTGGATATTGTGTGCTTGGTGCAATGCGATAAGAACATATAACCCATAAATATGAAAAGAGATTGCTTTGGCAAAACTCATTTTATATTTTAGAATAACTTTGTCAAAGATCAAGTTTGTTTGAATGTCATTCTGATGCAAACACATATTTTTATGCATAAAATCTTGTGACATGTACAGTATTTACTTAATGGTCAAAGGATCAAGACACTTGATATGGGTTTTAGTGAAGCACACTTACTTTGGTATTGTTAGGTTATAATTGGAATATTTTCACTTTGTGTAATAGCTTGACAATTGTAGATTTTATTCTCAGTCAAGATTGATCTTTATGTTTTACATCCAAACAATAAACTCTTTTGTTTTGGACAAAAAAATTATTTAAACATACAGACTTTATTCTGAAGACACACTCAAAGAAACAGTTACAGATTATTAAGGATAAATATCAGAAACAAACTTTTTTTCCTCCCCAAAATTCAGATGTCTTTGCTAAATTAGGTGATTTTCTTACTTTGGAAGTGATATTTGTATAGTTAAACAACTTACGTGTAATATATGGCCAAGGCACATTATTTGGCAAAAAGTGCAAAAATGCAACTTTACAGTTCAATATGTTTTTAAGTTTATAAAATGTATTCAGTTTTCTTGCTACAAAGTTTCTGGGGACATTTTCAAGAGTCTATTTTTACATTCTACAACATTAAAATTTATTGATTACATTTCCATTGAAAGAAATATTGAAAAAATTCCAGTGTAACTCTTCTGTGTGGAAGATAAGAAAAATTTGATGTGGTATGTATCTTTATTAATGTCACTTCCTCAAACTCAAAAGGTGTAGATTATAAAAATGAAAATAATGTGGGGCCTTGTATGACTGTCCATTTTTTTAATTATACATGTTTAAGGCCATCTAATATATATGATTCATATTTGGTCAGTATTTGAAAATTTATTGGGGCAATGAATGGGCATAAACATTTTAATATAATACTAACAATTTTTCACATATTTTAATTTTAATATTGATTATACATGTACATGCTCAGTCTGATCTATGTTTCATGTATCTTTTCACAAAATTATGAACACTCCAAATAAATTAATGTTTTAACTCTATTCTTTTTCCATGCAGACTTTTGTTAGGTCACCTGAGTCACTCAGGTGAGCTACTGCAATCTTTTTTCGTCCGTTTTCGTTCATCGGTCGTAAACTTTTGAACATTTTCAACTTCTTCTCTGAAACCACTGAACCGATTTCATCAAATTTTTGTATAGAGCATCTTTAGAAAAAGGGGGACAAAAATTGTGAATTTCATGATCCCTGCCCCTGTTGGGTCTCAGGGGGCCAGACCATTAAAATTAATGCAATGTTCAAAAATCTTCTCCTAAACATAAAGTATTCAAACTGTTACCTTTGCCTTATCCAAAATTGTAAATTTCATGGCCCCTGGCTCAGGGGTTCTGGTGAAGGGGGTGGGGGCTTTAGTGATTATATAGTGAAAAAGCATAATTTCTTTGAAAATATTTTATTCTGCTCCTGGTTTTAAAGCAAAGAAACCAAGTGTATAGTTATGATGAGCAAGAGTGCTTCTTCCAGAATTGTGAGTTTCATGTCCCCTGGGTTAGAAGTTCTGGTGTAAGGGTGGGGTTCTATAATATAGTGAAAATGCATTAATTCTATTAAATAATCCTCTCTCCTTCTTAGTGTTGAGCACAAAGGCTCAAAGAGCTAATGCTATGGCCATTTGTGCGGTGTGTGTAAACTTTTTAGAATATGGGCTATGTCTCTAGAACCCCTAGGCCGAATTTTGTCAAATTTGTCACAGAGTATCCTTGGCCCAAGGGCTCTCATTTGTACTAAAACAAGGAATGTGACCTCAAAACAAGGGGAGATAACTAGGGGAAAAAAAACAAAAGTACTGGTTGCTAAAAATCTTCTCAAGAATCATAGGGTAGATAATCTCCAAACTTACATACAAGGATGAGGATATGTTGTAGATTAAAATTTGTGCAAGGTACATGTATAACCCTGAGGCAAAGTGCACGGTTTCGACGTCACTTCAAAGTTGACCAAAAATTATGTTTTGTTAAAACTTTGATATTTTGCTTACTATAAGGACTCGGATAATCAAATCTTGATAGTTGATGCACCTTAGGACCTCGTATCATGCTGACTCAAAAGTAGGTCACAGTGACCTACTTTCTGAATTTTGCAGGCATTCGTTTTCAAATTGATCATCAAACTTTGTCAGTTGAATCTTGGGTCCTAGTAGAACGTCAACTGAAAAGTAGGGCACCTTGACCTACTTTTTTGAATTTTCCAAAACATTTAAGTTCATTTTTTCAGATACTGTGAGGATAAGAATTATCAAATCTTGTAAGTTGATGCATCTTGGAACCACACATTTATCATAATGTAGGTCACAGTGACCTACTTTTTGAGTTTTGCAGGCATTTGTTTTCAAGTAGTTTCAGAGGCATATTTTGAACACTTTAGGGCCTATGACCATCAAACTTTGTCAGTTGATGCATCATGCGTCCTATCAGAATGCCAACTGAAAAGTAGGTAACCGCGACCTACTTTTGAAAAATTTATGGCTTTAATTAAATATTTCAGGTAGTAATTGGTTTAGAATCATCAAACTTTGATAGTTGATGCATATTGGGTCCACAAAGTATGTCATCTGAAAAGTAGGTCACTGTGACCTACGTTTGAAATTTTATGGTTATAATTAAATATTTCAGGTACTAATTGGTTTAGAATCATCAAACTTTGTAAGTTGATGCATATCGGGTCCTCAAAGTATGCCATCTGAAAAGTAAGTCACTGTGACCTACTTTTGAAATTTTATGATTATCATTAAATATTTTAGGCATTAATTGGTTTAGAATCATCAGACTTAGTTGATGCATCTAGGGTCTTCAGAGAATGACAAGAGATAGTTGGTCACCATGATCTACTCTCAGGTACTAATTGGCTTAGAATCATCTTGGGTTCTCAGAGTGTTTCATCTAAAATGTAGGTCATGATGACCTACGTTTGGAATTTCAAGGCTTTATCTAAATATACAGGATACTTAGAGGCTTCAAATAGAAGTGATAAGTTGTACAGTTTATCAGAAGAGCGATTCAAGGCCCATAGGCCTCCTGTAAATAACATATGCAAAGGTAAATGACAGCAACAACCCCCCCCCCCCCCAAAAAGTAAAATGTTGTAAACAAGATGTAAAATGCATATTATCTTTAACACGAACAAATAGTACTCTAATTTATTTCTTTCAGTATCAAGGACTTTTTAAGATATTTTAAAAAACAATACTAAAATGCAAGAATAAAAGTTTTTTTTCATACTACATAGTATTTGCCTGAGAAACAAAACAATACTCTATACACATATACAATAAACAAAGAAACATGAGCCACATAGCTCACCTGAGTTACTTTGGTCCTGTTTTCTTTTGAATATTTCAAATAAAAAAAATATTTCTTCAATCTTATGAAAGCAATTTGCCCCTGTATAGCTTTTACACTTGGCCAAATGCATCGTGATTAGTCTTGGCCCTATTGTTCTTCAAAAGAAGATTGTTAAAGACTTCTTCTCTTTATTCCCCAGCAAAACTTGGATCCCCCATTATGAATCCACCTAAAGGGCCACGATTCAAACGAAGTTAATTTTGCACTACCCTGAGGATGCTCGACTAATCAATTCCTATGTAAAACTGACCTCTTATTTTAGCCCCAACATACCCCCTTGTGCTTTGATTTAATGACCAAGTTAAAATAAAAAAAAATAATTTCTGTATATTTTTATGTTAAAGTTAGATCCCCATCTTGGAACTATGCTACCCAGGGTTCTTCACATTTGAAAATTGAACCATGGAGGAAGCTGTGCAAAAGCAAAATGTGATTGATAGCACAAACCTGTGTTAGACTCTCTAAACTTCATTAATCAATGATCAATTGTAGCCTAGCTACCCATGATCGGCACAATTTGAAAAAATCAGAATTCACACTATCCTTTGTCATAAACCTTTCAACTTTTTGACCAGGAGGTTCTTGAGAAGATTTTTAAATAATCCCTCTCCCCACCCAATTTTTTCCCTTCTTGAAAATCTCCTCTTCAAAGGGGAGACCTGTGGTTTTCAAGAAGAAGTCTGAAATGATTACAGTTTATAGACAAACAGATGCTGCACAATGGATGATCAGAAAAGCTCTCGTGAGCTAACAGCTTAATCTGAGAAGATTGAATTCTATGTAAAAATAATTCAGTGAAGATCTCTTTCTTTACACATCAACATCTGTGTAGGTCAAACAAAAATACTCTCAATAGATGAGCGGTGATTCTGAAACTGGTAGAGTTGTCATTTATTGCCAAGCTCTGAAAAAAATTTAATCCATTTCAGTGCATATTCCAAAGTTTAGAGCAAAAATGTGACTAAAAATATTTAAAAAACAATTTCTCTTAAAATAGTTTGGTCCCCATCTGATTTTAAACTCCAATTTGAACAATATGTACAAACCTCTGAACTTGAAATTGGTAAACTATACCTGTTTAGCTCTTTTATGGGTGTCCTATCAAGACTGCCCTCTTCTGGATTCAGTTGTTGGTACAAATTAGGTTTTAACCAATATTTGGAGTTGACCTTGACCTAAATGGTGCTTTTCGATCTTCGAATAAGAAGAAACAATACATGATTAGCAATACAAATAGAAACTTGTATGATTATCATGTTGTAACTTTATATGTAAATTAAAAAAAATATGAAAATCAATGCAAGTTGCTAACTTCATTACAAACATTATTTAATATATCTGCTAGGTTCACAATGTGATTTAAAGCCAAGGACAATGAAAATCAATTCGCTATAAGCATCAAATTATTGTAAGCATGTTCACATTAACCGTGTTTTACTGTACTGACCTTTGGACTTGATGAAACTGGTGCATTAATTAATTCTTTTATCTTGCAAACCCAATACACAGAGTGGTTTCTTTCAAGCTGACATCAGTCTTGGCCTTTGATCTTTGACCTTGACATTGAAAGACATAAAATAATTCCATTATGTATGATTGCTGGTTTCCTTTTTGTCAAAACAAATAGAAAATAGATATAGACAATTATAAATTTGAAATGCTTGTAAATGAAGTATACCATTTTCAGCTGCACATTCCTAATTACTGCAAAATGGTTTTCCATACCCAGAGTCCCAAGTCAGCATGCATCAATCTAAAATTCTATTAATAGTTAATATATTTTTAATATACATGCATTAGTCATATATATGTGTATCTGCAAATAATATAAAAGGATACATGTACATGTATATTAGAATTTTCAAGAAACAATATTTTTTTCCAATACAAGAAGTCGCACGAACATTGTTTGCTACTAATTATTTTTTATTTAATTAATAGGAATACGTGTAATAAAAGCATCTTTTCATAAAAAGACATGATTAAAATTCAAATTTAATGTATTTGCCCAAAATTTCAAGAAGTAAAAGAAAACCTACCTACATATATCTATCACCTGCAGTCTTGGTATGGATCTGTAATTTAATATGTTGATGGTTCACTACACACAAATCACTGTTACTTGGTACTAAAAAGAAAAAAAATGTATATAAATGATACGCTTAAATTTAAATTGCAAAAATATAATGCAGTAGGTGTTGTAATTTATCTGTATATAGCAGGATGAAGCCCCTTCCAATTTAGCCCCATTATAGCCGTCGCAGCAAATTGAAAGTGGGGTGGCTAATTTAAAGTGGAGGGCTAAACCAACGAAAAAAGGTAAGCCCACCCCACCCCCAGCCCGAACGGTTCCGACGCCTATGCCCAAAGTTCTATATTTGAATGAGAGTAAACATATTTCTTTTGAATGTATTGTAAAACAACTTGATTCTAAATGCAAATAAAATACCATATTCCTTCATGTTTGTAACTGCATAGAAAATTAAAGGCCATTTATTTTAATTGTATAACAAATGTGTCGGTAGACAAATTCGAATTTCCTCGATGAAAACTGCAGAATGTCTTTGGTTGTTGGAATGCTGTTCCAAAGAATCATTACGTAAAATACATATGTAGAACAGCAAACTAAGCTATTCATAAAGATTTACAAGTGAAAAATCACCTGAACTTACCTTACTTGTTAGCTAGGCTGGAGAAACCCGATACACATTTTAGCGGTTTTTCGGCGTTAGGGAAGCGCTAACATATTTTCCTACTAAAGCGAATCATGACTGTGTCTGGAAGTCATACATCCTGACGCAATGCAATTATAACCTTAAATCTTGACTGCGTTTGAGGAAATACATCCTGACTTGGCCAGGATTGACGCTTGAATAAATCGTGACTGCGTTTGGAAGTCATACATCCTGGCGCAAAGTTATCCTGACTAGGCCAGGATTGACGCTTGAAGAAATCTTGGCTGCGTTTGAAGAAATACATCCTGACTTGGCCAGGATTAACACATGAAGAAATCTCGGCTGCGTTTGGAAATAATATATCCTGGCGCAATGCAATCCTGGCCGACCAAGATAGGATGGCCATATGTTGTCAATCCTGACTTGGTCAACATTGAAACATGATCCAGTCAAGATAGGATGACCATGTAATCTTGACTTGGCCAGGATAAAATGTTCATGTTATCAATCTTGACTTGGCAATGTTATTAATCCTTACTTGTTCAACATTGAATCATGACCCGGCCAAGATAAGATGATTACTGGCCATGTTATCAATCCTGACTTGGTCATGTTATCAATGATGGCCGGCCAAGATAGGATGGCCATGTTATCAATCCTGACTTGACCAAGATAGCATGGCCATGTTATAAATCTTGATTGGCGAAAATAGGTTGGTCATGTTATCAATCCTGACTTGGTCAAGATGATAAAAATCATGGCTTGGTTATATTTGAAATCTTACCATGGTCATGATTGCCATCCTGACTGGCCAGGATTGATTTACATTGAAACATATAGAACATGATATGGGGGTCACCTATGGCTTTCCAAACATTTTCATCAGTTCTCCCTTTTTGCCTATTTATTTTGTGTATGAAACAAGGAATCTACCCAGTCAACCCTGCTCCAAACCGAATGAGATAAAAAAAAAATAGTATCAAAATATATCTCAGAATCTTTTTAACCAGTAAAAATTTTGATATATTCGAACAACCATAAAAAAAGTTGTGAGACCAAAAAAATGTGAACGTAAGAATGAAAGAGGAACATACAGGCAGACGGACATTTAGAGTTACGACTAAAGGTTACCCGTAATTTTGCGTGAGGCCCTATAAAAAATTCAATTTAGTACCAAAATATTTTTTCTCTTACATGTGGCAATTGAATACCATGATACATTTCTTTTATGTAGGGTTGTTTATTCGTACACTCATTTACCCTTAGAATCCCCATCTTTCCAAAAAAAATGGTTGATCCGAAGAAATATCTTATACAATTAATTGAAATAAAGATACTTTAAATTTCCTTTACTTTATCCCATGGGGTGTTTTCCTGATGTGCCCTGAATTACCCTTATTTCAGAGATGGTCACTGTCCTCCTGTATTTTCCAATTCAGGGATGGGAAGCTGATTGCAATTATGACATGATCCATTGTGGAATATGATCCCGGTGTATTTTCATAGTTTTTAATAGTTTGTGTGGTAACTGAATATCATACAGTTTAAAAGTACAGGAGCATGTATAAATGCTAATGATCGAAATCCTTCCTCTTAAAATTCAAAAGTAATAAGTTAAATTAAACTGTCCGCGGTATTCTTTGCATAGTAAGTCAAAGGTCACGTGGATTGTAATGATTGGATTTTTTATAATATCTTATGACATACATTGCACATGCTAAATAGCATAGACTTACCTCTTTCATGTCAAATATGCTATATTTCAACACTATAAACTATTTTGAAAAGTAGGTCAAAGGTCAAGGGTCACAAGGTCAGGAACCATGGTAATTTACAAAAGCCATAATGCCAGGCAATACATGCACAAAATGTCAAATTCATACCTCTTACAATTCTCGAGATACAGGGTGTGACAGACGGACAGACAGACAGACGCCGGATTAAGTGATCCCTAAGTGCCGCTCAGCTCTGCAGGTGACACAAAAACGATACTTAATATTTTAATTTAGATAATAGGTGCTCGAATAAAACCAGGTTTTAAGCTGAAATCATGTTATTTTAGGCATACCACACCTTATCTATGCAAATTTATGCATGTAATATTTTACGATGTATATATGCAAATCTTGAACAACCCCGTTATTAACGATTCAACTCTCATTAGAATTGGCTTGTAAACACCAGGGTATCTTATACGTTATCAATGATAACAAAACCGCCGATAGCAATTATGAAAAAAGACGTATCTTTTCATTGGGTCTTTGTTTGATGGAGTAGCCTCTTTGAAGTCCTAAGGCATAACGGCTCACCGTTGTTCATGACATAGTCGTTTTCTTGTTCTTTCGCTATAGGATAAAACATCAATTACATGTATATGTCATTAAAAGCTCAAACGTAGAAGCCTGTATTTTTTTTCTGGTCATACCAAAGATATACATGTATATGTATACTGTCTCTTTAACGTTGCTATTAAACATATTTGCTGGATTACAAAACAAAATTTGATCGGAGCAAGTATGACGTATATTCCCTGGGATACATCTTTTTTCATGGCCTCTGCATTTCCACTTTTATTTCTGCGATGTTTTAAACCGTGTTGTCCTCTTTTAAACTCGGGTGGGTTGAGTGCCGAACATACTGTATTTTTCTATACCAGGAGTGTCCGCTTCCCTGTCTATGGTCCCTGACTCAGTTTCTTACGCATTCAGATTTTCGTTGCGTTTCTTCCATGATCAACTTCTGTTTTGGATTCGGAAAATTCTTCTGTGTTCAAGACGCTTCTTTCTTCAAAATTTCGCTGACACTTTATGACAGCAACTTGACGGTCTCCATTGAATGGAGTTGGAAGACATCGAATTCCTCAATTTTGCCGCAATTTGATGGTTTCTTATCCAATGATTCTGTGGGACTCCGTGTGTATCCAAGCTTTTCCAATGTGTGTTGTCATTTTGATATGCTGTTCTGAAACGTTTTTAAAATGTACCAAAAGATATTACTGATTTTAATGATGGTAAGCACTCCTTAAACGAAAGCCAGTGCTACTAAGTGAACACAATTAGAGTAACTCTTCACTCTTTGAAATAAAAAACTTAAATCACATATACATAAAAAAGAATTAAAGGAATATAAATCAGAGATCTGATTTAAACCTTTATCACATGTAACAGCAAAATTATTTTTTTTCTGTATCATCGTATTAAAATATTAAATATCTTATGCATGCATGCCATATGTAAATTACTCAATTCTTTTGCTTCATTTAAGGAGCGCCTAAACTTTTTTTTATTTGTTTTTATTTTCTTTTCTCACTTTTCTGTTTGTTTTTTTTTTCTTTGTCTTTTTTTTTTTTTTTTTTTTTGTCTATTTTATGGCATTTATAAGAAATAATTATATAAGTGGAACTTTCAGCTTAATAGGTTTCTTCTTAAGAAAAATTTATTTTCTCTGATAATATATACTCTGATACTATAATAAGTCTAATGAACTCTTGTTTCTTTGAAACTTTTAATTATTCTTTGAAAAAGTCAAAGGAAAGTTTACTTTTTGGATTCTTAGACATCAGAATACAGGATTGGATCTGATCGGTGATTATACATATTGCAAATCATAGGTTTTTTTAAACCGTCATTTTTTACGGAAGAAAATACTGCTAAAACGACCAATTTTTCCCTTAAACTTCAGTATCCAAACAAAAGAATTGACACGGTTAATATAACTTATATACTAATTCACAAAAGGGTCAGTCTAGTATTCCACCATATCTCAAGCTTAAGTCCACACCTTGTATTTCTTCCAAACTTTTTAATTACAAGAAAACTCTACAGGACCTAAATATCGAACATCTGAAACTTAATCTTCCAACGTGTACATGTTCTTTAATCTATTACCCTGCTGAACACGTTATTACTGGCGACGTAAATATAGTTAATAATGGGGACCTTAAATCACTTCTTTTTTAAGGATAAAATATATTGGGGAACCTCTGTCTTTCCACTGACGTCATAATTACATACATATCATATTCTGTGAAAGATTAAGCCAGGAAATGGGCCAAAAATAAAAAAGAAGATT